AACAGCGTGCGCGGCTTCAGCGTCCTGTGCGGTGGGCGTGGCTTCAGCGTCCTGGGCGCGGCGTGTGATGTACGTGCGGCTCAGGCCGTGTGTGGAGCCCCGAACAGGCTAATCAAATCAATAGCCGACGAATTGACGATCGAAAAGATCGACAACGTTTTCGATCGTCGATTTTAATCGACTTAATCGATTAACTGTTGCAGCTCTACAGGCATTGATGTGCCATGTGTACGGTTACAGGCGATCGCACTGCGGCTGGAGTGGCCTGGCTGCGGTGCCATTGACTTCTCCCCCTCCTGAATGCAGGGAGCCAGCCCGGATGCGATCCAGTGCGTTCCAGCACCAAAGTCAGGCCGGAACGCACTGTTTGTGGTGTGAACTAGCCCTTTGTGCCATTTTCTTAAGCTTCTTCTGCAGTCAGCGGCTTACTCATTTGGCCATAATGGAACTGCAAAGGAGTAGCATCAACCCAAAATCAGACTCCACCTACCACTTCTATTAAGGCATCCCTCCCTTGTTAAACTATAGAACAAAAACGATGGGGTTTATAACTGACGGCAAAGTTTAAAGCTGACCTTGCACTAAAATGTAAGGTCCGCATATGTGGGTGCCCCCACCCATGTTTACAAAACACAAAAAAATAAACACCAACAAAACACACATTTAAAAGAAAAGCATTAAAAATACTTGCTGTACTCCTAGGTTCCAGATGCTTCACAGAGGGAAAGTTCAGGATCCCAAGTCTCATGAGAGGACACTCCTGCACTGAATAGAATGCATTCTTACAGGATTTAGGATCCTCAACTTCCCAGGGTCTCATAAGAAAACCCACTTACATCACCTCACCGAGGCAAGCCCACCGGTTTTAAAAATATTATAAATTATAATTATTTAAGATCCTCCCAGTCTCCCTACCTCATGAGAACTGCAGTGGATCCCCAGCTTGGGGTCCAGTGTTAGCTGCTGTGCTGTGACTGAGCTTTAGCCATAGGTGCATTGTTTGTACAGCTCCCTTGCGCCCCGCAGCAGTGCCAGGAGCCAGAATGTGACGTCAGTTTAGTCCAGGACACCTCTACAAGGCACATGTGGGAGCTGAAAGCAATGCATATATGGATGGAGCTCCCTTTTGGCCATACTTCCAAAAGCACCTCAAGCTGGCACGCAGGTCCGGGCAGCATATTCTGAATGGCTGCTCGGCACAAGAACTGATGATGCTGCGCTAGGGGGAGGCTGAGGAGTCTCTCACCTAGAAAAGTGGAAGGCATATGGCGACCCACTGAACACGGGGTTGCGACCCACTTTTGGGTCACGACCCACCAGTTGAGAACCAAGGCACTAGGGGATGGAACAAAGCAGATATATTCCTCTGATCCTCAGTCCCGTTAAGCTGCTACACCAGTCCCCGCAGCCTCTTCTACACTGGGCTTCGATATAGGCTAAGGGCCACTGACCTCACATCTAATGGAAAGTACATCCTCTTTATTCAGACCCCTTGAAAGAAAAACGAACACTTAGCACCAGTCCACAAGGGAACATTTTTTAAATGGCCGGCGCTCCTCTTTCAGTAAAAAGTATATGACTTTTAGCCAGGGTAACAGAGGAAACACCAACATCCAGATCACATTGCCAGCCTGCACGTAATGCAGTTTAGTGGACTTATCCTTCAAGGCATCATAGACAAACAAAACACACTGTCACACCCAGTTTCCAGACTGGGCTTACAAGCATAAACAGTCAAAGCCTTGTTACAAGCAACAGCAAGTGGGAGGAGGTGCTGGAGAGGATACTTATTTTTAATAATATAATTATATGCTTTGTGCTGGCATATACTAGTTGCCATCTTTCCCCAGGATCACAGCTTTATCTGTACTGAATATATTCAACTCTGCTGATTATACAATTTCTTACCAAATTTTTGTCAAAAACAATGATTTAGGGTTAAATTGCATAGCCAATGATTTCATTACTTGTATTATTTTTATGCAAGTTGTTAAAGCGTTAAGCTGGTCATACAGTTAGAAATTTGTTTGAATATATTTTCAAAATTGTTCGCCAGAGCATTCGATATTGCCATCAAGCCAACTAATTTCATCCAATCCCACTTTTACGGTTAGAAATTTATCAGAAACAAGAAACATTTTCCATACTGCTCCTTTGATTTTCTTTGTCACTTTGGTTGAAAATGATCATCATTTAGACCCGCACTAACCATTAGGAAATAGAACGAACTTTCCAGAAACTAACATTTTCATACAAAAGTTCTACTGGCGTATGGCCAGCTTTAAAGTGACATTAAACCCTCAGATTTTTTAACATAAACCAATACTGTAATGTGTGCCTTACTGTAATCCATGGTTGTTTCCCTTCTCTTTGCTGCTCTTCCTTTTAAATCCTCATATCTTCTCATGCTGGGGGAGAACTTCTGTTTTGCAGCAGACTGCCTTGTCTCTGGAATGGATACCTGGTGTCTGTGTGTAGGTTTGCAACCTGAGCCAGCACTACAGGAAGAGGCACTCAGCTGCAAAGGGAAGTTCTCCCCCAGCATGAGAAGACATGAGGATTTAAAAAGGAAAGGAAACAACCATGGATTACAGTAAGGCACACATTACAGTATTGGTTTATGTTAAAAAATCTGAGGGTTTCATGTCACTTTAAGTTCTAATACCATCACTCACAGAAGAGCAGATATATTTTAGAAAATGCATCTAGTCCACGTGAAGTTTGTATTTTTAAAGTTTAAAATGGCTGGCAGATTGACTTTTACCATTTCAAACCAGTTAAAATGTATTATTCGATTATCTGAACTGCAGTACTGGAATGGACAACTCATAAAGAAGCACTGTCATGTATACCTATTGAAACACAAAAGGTTCTACAACAAGAACTAGTTTATTTAAAGTGACATTAAACCCTCAGATTTTTTAACATAAAACAATACTGTAATGTGTAGAGCTGCAACAGTTAATCGATTTAGTCGATTAAAATAGACGATTGAAAAAGTTGGCAACGTTTTCGATCGTCGATTCGTCGGCTATCGATTGATTTGCCTGTTCGGGGCTGTTCCGGGCTCCACATGCGGCCTGAGCCACACGTCACACGCTGCTCCCGCTGCGGCCGCCGTGCCCACGGCACAGGCCGCGTAAGCCA